GGTGAGTGGGTGAGTGAGTGGGTGAGTGGGTGGGTGAGTGGGTGAGTGAGTGGGTGAGTGGGTGAGTGGATGGGTGGGTGAGTGAGTGGGAGGGTGAGTGGGTGGGTGAGTGAGTGGGTGAGTGGGTGGGTGATTGAGTGAGTGGGTGAGTGAGTGAGTGGGTGAGTGAGTGAGTGGGTGAGTGAGTGAGTGGGTGAGTGGGTGAGTGGGTGGGTGATTGAGTGAGTGGGTGAGTGAGTGAGTGAGTGAGTGGGTGAGTGAGTGAGTGGGTGAGTGAGTGAGTGGGTGAGTGGGTGAGTGGGTGGGTGATTGAGTGAGTGGGTGAGTGAGTGAGTGAGTGGGTGAGTGAGTGAGTGGGTGAGTGAGTGGGAGGGTCAGCTGAGTCTCAACAGAATTGGCGAACTGCACTACGGCCACCTGTGTTGAGGGTGAGCAGAGGGGGGTGAGTGGGAGGGTGAGTGAGTAGGTGAGTGAGTGGTGAGTGAGTGAGTGGGTGAGTGAGTGGGTGAATGAGTGGGTGAGTGAGTGGGTGAGTGGGTGAGTGAGTGGGTGGGTGGGTGAGTGGGTGAGTGAGTGGGTGGGTGAGTGGGTGGGTGAGTGAGTGAGTGGGTGGGTTTGTGGGTGAGTGGGTGAGTGGGTGGGTGAGTGAGTGAGTGGGTGAGTGAGTGGGTGAGTGGGTGAGTGAGTGGGTGAGTGGGTGAGTGGGTGGGTGGGTGAGTGAGTGAGTGGGTGGGTGGGTGAGTGAGTGGGTGAGTGAGTGAGTGGATGAGTGAGTGAGTGGGTGAGTGGGTGGGTGGGTGAGTGGGTGGGAGAGTGAGTGAGTGAGTGGGTGAGTGAGTGGGTGAGTGGGTGAGTGGGTAAGTGGGTGGGTGGGAGAGTGAGTGGGTGATGGGTGAGTGGGTGAGTGAGTGGGTGGGTGGGTGAGTGAGTGGGTGAGTGAGTGGGTGGGTGGGTGGGTGAGTGAGTGGGTGGGTGGGTGAGTGAGTGAGTGGATGGGTAAGTGAGTGAGTGAGTGGGTGAGTGGGTGAGTGAGTGAGTGGGTGGGTGAGTGGGTGGGTGAGTGAGTGAGTGAGTGGGTGAGTGGGTGAGTGAGTGGGTGAGTGGGAGGGTGAGTGGGTGAGTGAGTGGGTGAGTGAGTGGGTGAGTGGGTGGGTGAGTGGGTGAGTGAGTGAGTGAGTGGGTGGGTGGGTGGGTGAGTGGGTGAGTGAGTGGGTGGGTGAGTGAGTGAGTGGGTGAGTGAGTGATGGGTGAGTTGGTGAGTGAGTGAGTGGGTGAGTGAGTGAGTGAGTGGATGGGTGAGTGGGTGAGTGAGTGGGTGGGTGGGAGAGTGAGTGGGTGAGTGGGTGGGTGAGTGGGTGAGTGGGTGAGTGAGTGAGTGAGCGGGTGGGTGGGTGAGTGGGTGAGTGAGTGGGTGGGTGAGTGGGTGAGTGGGTGGGTGAGTGAGTGGGTGGGTGGGAGAGTGAGTGGGTGAGTGGGTGGGTGAGTGAGTGGGTGAGTGGGAGGGTGAGTGGGTGGGTGGATGGGTGGGAGAGTGAGTGGGTGAGTGAGTGAGTGTGTGGGTGAGTGAGTGAGTGGGTGAGCTAGTGGGTGAGTGGGTGAGTGGGTGAGTGAAGGTGAGGAAGGTCTAGTTGATCACAGACTCATTCTCACACTCACTCACTCACACACTCACTCACAGACTCACTCACAGACTAACTCACTCACACACTCACTCATACACTCACTCACAGACTCACTCACACACTCACTCACTCACACATTCACATACTCACTCACTCACACACTCACACACTCACTCATACATTCACTCATACACTCACTCACTCACAGACTCACTCACTCACAGACTCAATCACAGACTCACTCACACACTCACTCACACACTCACTCACTCACACACTCACTTACACACTCACTCACACACTCACTTACACACTCACTCACTCACACACTCACTCACTCTCACACTCACTCACTCACACACTCACTCACACACTCACTCACACACTCACTCACACACTCACGCACTCACTCACACAATCACACACTCACTCACTCACACATTCACTCACACACTCACTCACACACTCACTCACTCACACACTCACTCTCACACTCACTCACTCACCTGGATGTTAGTCCCCCTACTCTCCTGCACTATCTGCCACGTGTATTTCATCACTCACTCACTCACACACTCACTCTCTCGCTCACTCACACACTCACTCACACATTCACTCACACACTCACTCACTCACACATTCACTCTCTCGCTCACTCACACACTCACTCACACATTCACTCACACACTCACTCACTCACACACTCACTCACACACTCACTCACTCACCTGGATGTTAGTCCCCTTACTCTCCTGTACTATCTCCCACGTGTAATTCATCATTCGCGTGAAGTCCTCCGGCTTGAGGCTCGAGGAACCATCAAGTAGCAGGACGAGGTCCACCAGCGGGGCGGAGCAAGCTGCAACAACAACAACAAC